AATGGGGCCCGTAAAGTAACGGGGCCAACAGATCAGTAAAAGCTGCGGTGAGGGGTTCTTCTAACGCCAGTAGATAGTACGTTTCGGTGTCAGGTACCTACTGTGACGTGTACCCTGAGGGTTCGGGTACTTAATGTTGAACCCGTGGTGTCCCCTTTCGGTGGAGGTCCTATGTTGGTGTGTACAGCGAGGCGCTCAGGTACAAAATATTTCTAAACCCATAAGTGTACCCTCGGGGGTCAGGTACCTACTTTAGGTGTGTAGCGAGGCGCCTGGTATACTGTTTTTTAAAGCAGTAGACGTGTACCCTTCGGTGGTCAGGTCCCCTACTGCTTGGTTTTTACAGCGAGGCGTCTGGAATACTTTACTAAAGCCATAGCGTGTACCCTCGGTGGTCAGGTACCTACTGTTTGGGGTTGTACAGCGAGGCCCAGGTACAAATTTTCAAAACCCAGTAACGTGTACCCTTGGGTGTAGGTACCTACTGCTTGGTGTGTACGCGAGGCGCTTGGTACATACTGTTACTAAAGCCATGCGTGTCCCCTTTCGGGGGGCAGGTACCTCTGCTTAGGGGGGTTCCGTGGGGCCCAGGCTCTTATGCTTAGGCCGGCTCAGCAGCCCCCTTGGGTTTGATGACGCCCCCAGGGGTACTGCCGGGGCAGGTTAAAATTTTAACCGCTAGTTTGGCGGGGCCGCAACAGGGGAAAACGAAGCCAAAAAGCGAAATTAAGGAAATTATATTAGTCAAGGAGTGAGATATATCATTCCAATATGGTTTCCAACGATATTTAGAGGGGCAGTTGCGGCGCTATTACAACAATGCAAATTTTACTGTTAAAAAAAATTAAAAGAATTAGGGCAACTAGAAATTTAAAAAACAAAAGGTTTGAGGGGAAGGGTTTAAAGGGGTGGAATCGAAGAGGTTTTGGGGAGATGGGGCCGTCGGGTGGTGTTGGGAATAACACAGACGTCGAAAAAGAAATGGAGTTAAGGGGTTTGAAGTTCAGGTGGTATGGGGGTATAAGTGAATAGGTGTTGACGACGACGGAGGGAAGTGGGATTAGATGTTTGGGGTTAAATTTGAAAACCAAAGGTGGGAAAAAGTAAAATTGCATTCCCGTCAATCGGTGGTTTGTGAGTGTGAGCTGGAGAGCATGATCGTTTGTGTTGGGGAGGGCCGATAAGGAGTGTGAGACTTGGGGCTTTATCTGGGGCGAAATTGGGTAAGGCCCCGGAAATTTGAGGGATTGCCCAGCGATTTTATCTTCAAAATTGAACTTTTTTAAAGGGGTTTTTTGGTAGTTTATTAAATTAAAATGAAGGGGGAGGGGTTTTTTGGGGGGAACAAAAAGGGGTTGCTGTGGTCGTCCTAGTTCCTAAAGGTGACCATTAACGGTTAAAGATTATCGTGCAATCTCGTTTTAGGGTGACAAAATTTTTTGGAAGGATCTTGGCAACAGAAAAAAAAAAAGCCGGGCAGGTTTTTGACAAGGGGAAAATTTGGGGGGTCCCGGGGGCAGGTTATGTATTAGGTCACTGTATGTTTAAATTTTTTATTAAAGGGAAAAGAGTAAGTTGGGAAGGGGGGGGGGGGTTTTTGGCTATAGTTTGGGGAGGCGGCTATGATAGTGTGGAACGGGGACTTTTATGGAAGATCATGGATGGCGGGGGGTTTGGGGGGGAAAATTTATCAGGGGCCCAAAATTTAAATGTATGGAGGCAACCTTGGGTGCAGGGAAGGGGGATTTGGGGAATCAAATTTCAAGGGCAGGGGTTTGCGTAAAGGTTGCCCCTTCACAATTTTTTTTTGCTTGTTTTAAAGACCTTTTATAGAGGAAAAGGGTTTTTTTGGGAAAGAAAAGGGGAGGTAATGAAAGGGAGGGGGGGAGGGGCATTGTTGGATTGTCGCGATACGACGATTTTGGTGAGAGAAAACAGGGATTTGATTGGGTGAAACGTTAGTGAAATTTTTTGAAAAGGCTAGGCATGACAAAACAGGGGGAAAACAAAGTAATGAATCTTGGGAAAAAGGTCCGTAGGAGGAAGGGTTGCTGAAAGGTGGAAAAGGGTTGACCAAATAAAGATTGGGGGATCGTTTATGTAAATGATATCAAGTTAGAAAAGCAAATAAATTCGGCGTATCTTGTAGGTTCTGAACCCCTCAGGGTTTAAGAGCTCTAATTTAAGTTTGCAACAAAGGGTGATACAAGAATGTGCTATTATATAGAAACTAGGCTGTTACGGTAATATTTTCCGTACCTTTTAGTTAAAAAAGGGACAAAAAAGTGTTTTTTAATTATTTGGGGGGAAAAGGAGCGAATGGTTAAGTAGGCGGTTTCACCTCCCCGGGTTGGCGTGGAGGCTGGGGCTTTAGTGTCGAAAAAAGGATAATAAGTATGTATTTAAAAACATAGTTTTAAGCGGGAGGGAGGGGGAAGGGGACGGGCTTATAGGGTAAATAGGGTATCGACGGGGGTGGGGGGGGGGGAGTTCAGAAGGTGAGGCAATGTTACGGGTATTTTAAACGTGAGGTTCCTTTACATTTAAACGAAAATCTTGATAGGGCGGGTAAGGCTTTGGTAGCGGCGAGAAAAGGGGTTTACCCAAAGTTTTGTTGGCGTAAATTTGGGGGGGGGTTTAAACAAATTGCGTTTAAAACCTAAAGTCAGAGAAGTTATGTTTTGATTTTTACAGGAAACTTTCCGTCGGAATGGTTTTTTTCTATAAGAAAAACGAGAGGGTGGGGAATGCAGGATTTGGTGGGTTTGGGCTATTTTCTACGGTAATTTTTGCGATTGTATTGAAATTATAAGGGGTTTTGGATGGGGAAGGTTTTTAAGGTTAGTGGGGGGGGGGGTTTGCGGTTTTGAGGGGGTTTTGTTTTGATATAACTGGGGTGAAAAAAAGGGGGGAGAATGCGATTGGGTATATGATTTCGGATTATATATATATGAGTGGGCTATGAGGGAGGCGGACGGCGTGCAAGAATTAATGCGTTTGGCAGCAACTTTTTATAGGACACAGTGTAGAAAAAAGGGGTTTTTGGAGGGAAAAGGGAGAGAGATTTTGTGAGGGTTTCCAATTTTTACAATTTTAAAGGGGTTTATGGGATTTCAAAAATGGGTAAGGGGACACAAAAAAGGGGTATTTTTTCCCAGACATGGGGTGTGAGCATGGAGGCTGTTTTTAAGGATTTAATTTTTTTGTTCTTTGGGCATTGGTTATTGCCCCCCCAGGGTTTCAAACTAAAATTTATTTAGAAATGTTTCATAAAAGTTTTAATTATTTTTATCAGCATAAATCATTTCAAGGGCTTTTTGATGAAAATTTTCGACCAAAATTTTTAAGGGTCTTTAAGATTTTGTCAATTGTAATTGTTTTAAAAAAAAAAAAAAAAAAAAAAAAAAAAAAAAAAAAAAAAAAATGTTTTTCCACATAAAACACGGGTTCATTTTTTGTTAAATTTTTTTGCTGTGTTCGTGTGCTTTTCAGTAATATTTATTACTGTAATTACTTCACTTTTTTTTTTGTTCCGTGAGATGTAAAAATTTCACATCGTAGTTTTTTGTTTTGTATATTGGATGTTTTTTTTTGGACTTTTTAGTATTACCCTTTCCTTCTTTGATCCCAAAAACCTTTTATGTTAAGATTTGGAAAATCGCCCTTTAAAAAAAGTTTGGTATCGTGGTGCTCTGTTAAGCACCCGAGATCTTGATTTTAG